ACAGAAACCACCACCACCGCGTGAATTGTGATGGACGATCCTGCACCTCTTCTTCTGACCCGAACATAGGTTGTATGTTACATTATGTCGGGCAATATCTCATGGTTTGAAATCTCCACGTCATTTAGGGAAAAGAGTAACTGGGGGTAGTACTTCAGTATTTTGTAGCAAGTCCATAAAAATGTTTCACTTCTGAACCGCAACTAAGGTTACATTCTTCTGTGACATTTCTATTCTTGTCCGAAACTAAACACAAGGTGTCCGATGTACCAAGAAAGCCGAAAACTCCACTGCAAAAACACAAAAACAAAAGGTTGCTTTTTGAATGTCGTCACATCCTGCCAAACCGAGCTTGTTGCTTGCCTTCTGTTTGGTTTTACAGCGATCTTAACTCAATCAGTTCAGTCAAAATGTCATCTTCCGATCATACAACCGAACTAACACAAGTGAAATTGAGCGAAACTAAAAATTCACATTCTGCAAAAATTTCCTCAGTTTTGGTTTCCCGGCAGTGTAATATTTTGAAGATTTGAGTGTGTAGAACTATCGTTTGTGAAGCCCTCTCTATGGGGAAGAGTTCAAACTAATTGAGAGGAGGTATTTCTGACGAGTGAATTTTCGTTGTTGATCTCAACAAGTCAGAGTGGAGTGCCCAAAAGTAGTGGCTAGTAAAGTCACCTTTAGCGGCCAACTCACTGGATGTTCTATTCCCACCGGTGCTGGAGCTTATCAGCGCAGCTGAAATACATTCTACTATGTCATCATAACAATATGGCCTGATATGCAGGAATCTATCTGTTTTCATCATCTTAGCTTTCTTGGTATTAGCCCGGTGGTGGTCAGTCTTATTTTGGTTGGTTACATGCACTCTAGATACCCCGTCGTTATAGAATTTGTAACTTTTTTGTTTTGAGAAAAATCAATTGATCTGTTGTTCGAAAAGAAGTGAAGGCAGACTCGGTGAGCTCGGTAAGCATGGAATGACCTTACTGTTTCGCTCAGTTTTGGTGCAATTGAAATGTCCCCTCTCGGTTGGAAGGACTAGGGACTGTGTGTACAAAATTGACTGCAACGATTGTAATAAGGTTTACATAAGGACAGACTACCAAGGAATTGCACACCAGAATTAGTGAGCATAAAAAGAGGATAAACAAACTACCAAGGACTGTAGAAGAATGCCAAACACCGCGCAAAGTCTCAAAGGTGGCGGTACATGCCTTTGGCACGGGACGTAGAATAGATCTGGAGAATGTGGAAGTTTTAAGACAGGGACTGCGATTCACACCACTGCGGCTGATAGCCGAGGCGGTGGAAATTACCAAGCATCCCAGCGTGAACAGAATTGAAGGTGTGGAACTGGCGAGCGTATGGAAAGTCGTCTTAGATAAGCCGAGTTGACACCTGACCGTATGTGGTTGTCAATGCACGTAGAATCATGAAGAAAAACAGATGGGAGGTGGAAATCCCAACCCGACCAAAGTTTACAGAATCCCTCTTTCTTACACAACCATCTTAGCACTAGCTCATCCACAAAGACGGACGGACGGAAAGTGCAAACGACGTTCAAGGAGCGAACCGAAAGAACTATACCCTAGACTGGACCCAAATCCATGTAGGTTCCCCATCAGCCTAACACTTTGTGGCCTACCATAACACAGAAACCCTTGGCCAACACCTGACGGATTTAGCTTGACTTAGCTGACTGTTCCTCATTCGAAACCCGAGCCAGTAAGGCAGACCACTGGCTTTAGTCATCCGAAAAAGACAGCTCTTACTCTGTTAGCCTATTTTTGGAAGATTCATACCCCAGGTGACAAGAAAGAGTATTCTGTACAAACCATGTTCTACTTTGTTCTGGATTACTGAAATAGACGATTTCAAAGAAATAGCGTGCGGAATGCTCTAATTTTAAATAGTACTCTCGGTTGTCGCCAGTAGGTTCTCGATCTTTCGAAGAATTAGATCGGTAGCACACATGCATCATGTCATAGGGCATTATCACTGAGCTTCATGGGGATGCGAACCAACCAAACCCAGTGAGCGAGCTTTGTAGAACCGAAACTATAGTATTTTTTGTTTAAACTGCATATGGATCCTATTGGCGCGTTTGAGCCCTACTCTGAGTCTCCAACACGAGTAAGGGCGCGGGTTTGGAGTCTACAAATCAGTCAGCTGTTGATTCTTATTTCATGCGATACCTTTTATCCAAAAATATTAGTGATGATTTCAGCAGCCGACGAAATAATACAGTAAACTGTCTATCCATTGGGACCGTTCATAGTAAGCTTCTTATCGTTAGTGAATATTGCTGCTCTATCTTCGTTTGCTCCGCCACATCCATCCCTATCTCTTTGAACTGTGATCCGATAACCGTATTCGATTTCAGGTGTTGTAAACGGGAGAGACTGCCGTCAACGTTACAACTGCGTGGTGCCTGCGTTAAGACTACGATACCTGCGTTATCTGGAAATAAACAGCTTTTGTTAGTCTCTTTCCTGCTTTCCTGGAAATAGGTGAAATTATTTTGCTAACCCTTCCAATCTGTCCGACAAATACGGTCTTGGTAAAGCACATAACGAATTTCGTTTCAGTAGTCGTTATGTCGTGATTTACAGTTAACTTCTACAGATCTAAGCCCTGTAACCCATAACTTATCAATGGGGATGATGAAAAAAGTAGAACTAACATATAGACGCTCTCAAGTAGTCGGATTTTCCCACAACTTTAACCGAATAATAAATGCCTTCGTGTGCGTTCGTGAAGCACTACTCATAAGGTTGCTGAACATTCTTCGACAGCCCACTACCGGTTTCGCTCTTCTTGGGCCCATCAGGTAAGCGCAGTTCCCGAATTTCCATCAAGGGTATGTATTACTGGAAACATCACAAAGGAGAGATTCAGTTGGGTTCCAGGTGAGTCTCTCGCAAAACCAAATTTGTTTGCAAATGAGTGTATTTCACCCTCATGTGTCGCTTACCACAATTATGTTTAGTGGCTTTACAGTGCTAAAGCGTTACAACCTGTTAGAGGCTGGGGGCACACCACAGATCGTGTTATGTCCACTCGATGGATTGAAACGCATAATTGTCAGGTCTAACCACGTCCTGTCCTTAATTCTGCATTACCGAAAGTCTGGATACCCTTCTTTTACCATGGGTGATTTCTCAGGTGACTGAAAGATTCATCCGTCGTTCACCCTCACCATCATCTAATGATTTTCTGTACATCCTCGAATGAATACAGAATGTATCCTGATCCCGGGCGTTATGCCCAGTAGATGAATCCTTCTAGAAGAAAGGGCGGTTTCGTTTTGCAGAGAAACATGCGTAGGGCCTTATAGTTAAGTGTAAAAACTTTAGCTGCATTTGAACTAGATTAAAACGTACTGAATGCGCTAGTGTTTTTGGGCTTTTTGGAATCCGTTAAATTTGGATTATAGTAAAGAATACAATACCCCACCTCGCCATATGTGTTCCCATCATACCAAGAAGCGAACATAACGTTACTAACTCTAGCGAAACACACTCATTTGCATACCAATTTGCTTGACGGGAGACTCATCCTGAATAGCTCGTTATGATGATTTTACGAGTTATAATTTAGCTTTCAGGAAGCACCTCTCTTTAATCGACCGACATTGAAATTTAAACACGTAACATGAAATGCCCAGTCAAACGGCTATGAAGTGGCCTTCACCATTGATTCCTTCTACTTCGGCAAAACACCGTTCACAAAAGGAACGCAGGAACTAGGAAAGTACTTGGTTGACTTTTTAAATGCGTCGGGAGAAAGCACCATAGTGTATAGAGTTACTGAGCTATCTTCTATATAGTTTGTCAGTGGAAAGTGAACAAACTATAGACAAGGGGTTTGTTTGGTTGGTGAACGTCAATTATACTATCTTTGCAAAACCCTTTGATCCAAGTGGCTAGATTGAGACTCAAACACTGTTCCTTAAAGAGAAGACGCTAATGGTCTAGCTGGGTTTGAAACCAGCTCCTATATTCAGGAGCATAGGACGAATGTCCCTAGCCTGCATGTGAAAAATTTTGTCTACGGCCAAAGAATGTGAATTTCTAGCTTTCGGCATTACGATTGCCTGGAGGTGAGTTTGAAAAAGCCGTAATTTTTATTTCAGAACAGGCCTTGAGGTCTATGGAGTAGCTGTCACCATGGTCGTGAATATTAATGGGATAGCGCAGGATCCAGTTACTCGAAAAAGGCACAGGTTTCCTCAGTGTCGCGTGGGAATGCTTAGTCGTTTAAAGAATTTGAGCGATTTCAAGTAGACCTCCGCATGTTCGCCTTTCGGCCTTCGAGTATACATCGGCTTCAGTAAACTAAACATGACGAACAATTTAACTCCACACAAACCATCTATGACACCTAACGTTGCAGCAATTACTAAAAGGTAAATCCGGCTGGGATAGCCTTACCCGATTCAGTTACGTACTTGTGGAGTTAGTTTGATTTGTCAAAAACTATCGGTGTTCTCCTCGAGTTATCATAGCAATCGCCTATAAGCCGATCTCATGTAAACATGAATGATGCTCAGAGCAGCACAAAAGCCCCCGGGGTTACAAATTACCATCATAAATATCAGAAATCTTCAGAGGTTTGCGTTGAACCAACTACTTCTTTGACTCCAAGCGAAAATACTTGTTCGACAATACGCATGGTACTCTTTGCTTTTGTTTAACATCAGGTGGCAAGACGATCTGGACGCTGTGTGGCTCTCCAATACTCTTATGTTATCATCAGCGGCGGTTTCCATGCCGCATTGGCAGTGTATTGAACAAGAAGTTTTTGGTTCATTTTGCACTCTAGTGCACTAGCGCGTTGTGACAAAACACGGGTTCACCTCCTCACAAGGCCTACGAAATTCAATCGTGATAGGCAGCTGAGAGAACATTTACAATAGCTGAATTGATGTTTTTTAGTTGTCCCAAATTTCTGAGCAAAAATTCTGGTTGTAAACATGGCAAAATATTCACACTCACCTGCCTGGAGAGCTCTTTTCGGTCAGTGGTGATAAAATGACAACAGGTGTCATGGTGTTTCCAAGTATGAACGAACGAAGTCGATGGAATATGTTTACTTGTTTGCTTCGGGGCGCTTGACATTAGATACAATTTGACACATCAGTTGCCCATAATCCTCCTATGGGCGTTCAACATTGTTAATTCATCAACACGCTGGCCACACGAAATTATACTTTGTCTCGGACATACTCTATTGCACATGAGCAGTTGCCCAATCCCCTGTCTTTCTGCCTCGTCGTTTATTCTTCGTGTCCTTATCGGTGTGGTTGCTAATGACGCACCTGATTTGGTCATCAATACACAGCTTGACTACGTAGCTGGACACTGATCTGGAAGGAGCTCACCAGAAGTCTGACCAATCTACTATGTATCGGCATGCTGTGAACGCCCATTCGCACCGATTCACCCGGCCTTCTCATACCTGTGTGTGTGTGTGTATGTACGTAAGTTTGTCCACTCACGTGCCTTGCTGCCAGCCTAAAAACGTCCCTGGTTTTATCCATCTCAGAGAACCGTTTGCGGTAGCTCTGGTCTATGCAAATTTGGGCACTAATTGCAGCAACAATTGCCCGGGACTTCCGGATGTTGTGAAAAGTTAGACTGAAAGGTACAGGTAAAGCAAGTTGTAGGAAGTAGAAAGGCCCATTAAGGAGACATTTTCCGGCTTGTGAAGGTTGGTAGATTTAATAATGACAGCGGGGGGTTCTACTTACTGATGTACTTTAGATATGGGGAAAAGTCAATAGTCGCGTTTTGGAAAACTGTTACATCTTTTTTTTTAATTTTCAAACTGAAGGACATCCTGCTATCAAGTTTTTCAGACAGATATTGTGATCTGAACTTGGCACATTCCTTTGAACTATTTTGTGAGGATTTCACCGTTCCTTTTGGCTACAGACAGACAGAAAGAGTAAGCACAGTTTAGAAATGTACGAACAGTTGTCTTCAAGAACTCCAATATGTGTGGGCAAACTCCACCGCTGCTAAAATGCAAGCAATCAGTCGAAAACAAACAGCCAATGGTTGTCACTTATAATGCGAGAACAGCTGACTAACTGCAGTCCACATTATTTGGACAGAGTAGCTCGCGGTGGCTCGCATCACTCATACGACCCATGTGAGGTACGTATGCATGATGTACACTGAAGGAAACCAAAGATTAGCGAATATACACTCATCTGCAAACTAATTTGGTTCTTTCGAGAGACTCACCTGGAACCCAGCTGAATCTCTCGTTTGTGATGTTTCCAGGCAACTGAATGTGCTGCACCAGGTCGCCTCATGTTTCAGTCGCCACGATACTCGAGATATCGCGAGACATATGTATATTTGTAATCCACTACTCATAAGGTTTCTGAGGAGTTTTCAGTAACCTTGTAAGTAGTACATTAGAAACCAAAGGTTAATTTCAGCATTCTCGAGGGGTAAAATGTGGAGAATTTTCACTGTTAAGGTGGGTTGTTTGCTGACCCCAATAAGGATGATTTAATCAGCGAAGCAAATGTATTCCATTTCGAGTTAACCAATGGAGTACACTAAGAATGAGGTGTATCCACATCATACCCGTAAGGCTTTTTTCAGTTAGCTAGGGTTTAGTTTACTTTTGAATGTCGTGGAAATTTGCCTCAGATCTTGTTAAACTGATGAGGCGCCACGCGGTTTGTAATATGAAAACCTTAATATTAAAGTATACAGAAAGATAAAGTCTGTAGAATCTCTGGAAAAAGTTTGCCCACGACAACCGAAACGTCGGAGTGTAGCATCTTTTTTCCATTACGATTTGTTTTGGCTTTACGTATGTAGTGGAAATTTACTTCTAGCAGCATACCGAAAATCTTCCGCAGCTCACGCGGAGACGACAAAACTGCTGTACTCATTAACAGCCTCTGATTGGACTGAACCAGCTGACCCACGTTGTTGAACATTCAAAAGTTGGGGAGTCACATATGGCCTGTTTCGGCCCCCAGGGCTTGAATTGTTTTTGTCTGTTCGGCGACGGTCACAGTCAGTTAGTTGCACCACAATTGCAGGGCTATTTGTCTGAAATCACCGAAGAACTAAAAATGCTCTGAGACAACTGTTTTGTCCGCCGACGGATTGCTGTGTTCGTCTGTGGCATCAGCTGTACAACCAACCGCGCTTACACTAGCACCAGCGTTGCACCAGCATTTTCACGAAATCACGTAGCTACCGCAAAAACCATATGGTTTGCATGTCTAAAAATGGTAGGTCAATGAATTTTTGGGCTTCGTCTGTTGTTTTTTCTATTCCGTTTGTTTTTCGTTTTCACTTTCAGGAACTCAACGTTAGTGACCTTCATCGTTCTACCGGTGTGACTGTGATACTACTGATGGGGAGGTACGCGAGTTGTATGTGTTGTACGGGGAATTTCGCTTTGTGTCTTTTGGAAAGGGGAGATCTGTTGCGGAATTCGTGGAGTCACTTTGTAACATTTCCCTGCATTTGAGCGAGGAATGATTGGAGTCAATGAATCTCCAGGAAAGTTCAAGAAGACGCGTTCAGTAGAAGATGGATGTCCAGTTTTTGTAAGATACAGATTAGAGTTTTGCTTCCCTATCCAATGGTCTGTAACCGGTCAGTTGGCATTTCCTAATGAATAACTCCGCAGCGAGGGCCTTCTCCATTTCACCGGTATTTAGCTACACTCATACCACGGTTCCGTTTCTCGGCTTTCAGTTGTTCAGGTTTTGTTTTTCCGTTCAGAAAACACGTCTTAAGTGATCGTCAAAGATTTTCACCTCTATTGGGTCACAGTATCACACATCGGGAAACCTCTGTCTGCCTGATAAACCTCCACCAATGAAAAAATTCAGAACAAAACAGATTCTGACTACTTCTCAGTTTTCACATTTTATGGACAACTTTAGCTGTTCATCAAGTAAACTCCATCTAGAAGACGCTTTCGAGGAAACAGCTATGTTGATTGGATAGTCTGGCAATGCAAGTCCCTCCTACCTTCAATAGTATCAAGTGACTGGTCAGGAAACTCTCCAACTCTCCAGTGAGTCAATTCCTTTTTTTGCAAAGAGAGGGATAGACCGAGTCTTACCCAAAGAAAACAAGTTAAGCAGCATTAAACTGCCAAGGTATCAGTGGGCCTTCCAATTCGCAGCGATACGCATGTGAGTTGTGGAGGATCCACTAGGCGGAATTCGGCGTATGACGAAAGCCTCGTCAGCGTTAGTGTGTAAGCCAAGGAATATATATGTATATGTAACCATCAGCTTTGTATGGAAAAATGTGCGGACATCCAGCAGGAGGAGAGCGGTTTTTTAGTCCATACACAAATCATCGATTAAACCGACGTTCGCAAATGCAAAGTCCATAACGACGATCCGACAGAGAGAATAAAGAAACAAATGCGCCCAAATGTGCCTATACTCCCGTTCCATCATAAGATACAGTTTCAAGTAATATGTGTAAATAGTACAAGTTTAACGTGAAACTGTCAGAGAGACGTGCCGCGTTTATCGGATAACTAAAGGTCAAAGGGTTCTTCATTTTGTCTACTGTATCCTGCTTCTTTTCGAAGATCGCCAATCACGTGTATTATTTATTTGTTCGATGCCTAACATTCCGATCATCATTTATGTGTGCTGGGTTAACTGGATACTGTTTTTTTAAATATGAGAGCTGTGCTCATCGGGGCCCTACTACCATACATAGAAGAAATACTTAAACCTGGTTTTTATTGCTGTTTTGAAAACTAAAGTGTTCATATTCCTCAGGTGAGTTCCTGTTTCAACGTACCCTGTCTCCTGGACTGGGCTAACCTCCTTTTGAGACTTCAGTTTCATCTTGTGTCTTCTGATCTGATATATAAGTTTTCTTCACTTGTGTGGACAGTTCAATGGTCCCGACAAGATGTTACTCCGACAGCATACCAACATCAAATGCGCGTTTCTGTGTAGCCAAGAGATTATTTCTGACCTCACCTGAAAAGGAACTGAGGTATCTTACCACATCATTCTTCTGCCGTCAAGTTACAGTTCATCCTGCTATTACGCTTGACAGTTTAGGAGAATTTCGGGTAGGAGTTACAGCGATGCGCATGAGTCACGGATTCCATCATTTCATGCTTGTTTTGATCATCCGGTTGCCTGGCAACGCCAACTGTGCACAGCCTTACCAACCAATAGATTGTTTCTTTGCATATGTAGGCCGGCAGCTCAGCCTCAAAATAAAAATAACGTATCTAATCGTTAACTACTACGCATAAGCTTGGTGGAAACCTTTCAACAGCTCATGATCGGTTTTGCCTTTCCTGTGTTTCGTCATACAGGCGCGGTCCAAAAAACTCCCTGAACCTTATATTGCAGTTGGAGGCAAACTGGAATTCCGCGAATACTGTCATTATAAACGCGAGGCTAAGCTGGATTAAGTTGTGTCACCCGATGAAACCGATTTGGCGCGCAAAAGAGAGTCCTTGGATAATTTTGTACACCTTAAACTCAAGTAGAATATAAGGAATCTCGGGGATAGAGTCTAATTTGTGAGCCCCAAAAAACAGAGAGCCAGTCGTGGATTGTCGAAGAGTTTTCAGCAAAGTTTTAGGTAGGGCATTACGTCTGGATAGTTCTTTGCGAAATTGAATGTTGTCCCAGCTGAAACATCGGGTGACCTCGTATACTCAAAGACCATTGTAAACAAGAGATTCAATTGGATTCTGCTGAGTAGCCGGGTGAAACCAAATTAGTGCGCAAGTGAGAGTTTGGCGAGATCATGCATGTACTGGATCAAACTACAAGTTACGTTCTTCAGAGTACTCAAAAACCATCACTTTCTTGGTGGAAATTCATGATGATTGTAGGTCAAATTCGGAATGCATTTTATAGACGGCAAAATAGAAATCTCGTGAGGCCAATTGGAATCGGTCGCTGCGGACGGACAAATCCCTCAGAGGCTTACGTTGCAGCAGTGCTTTGTCGAAGTGGGATTCACGAAATGAAATATTGTATTAAAGTCCAAGTTCGAATAAAACTTTTATCAGCATGTGGAAAAACCGTGAAGGAAAGTCGGACAGTTCACCAGATGAAGTTTTCGACGGTGACTGTCTATGGTAGCTGTCAATACAGATGATAATTTGAAGTTTTTTGCGACCATTAAGATCTGTGGTTTTATCGTTCCACAACAGTGGGGGTAAGAATCTCGTACCAACCGTGGATTGGCTTGAATCTCGAATTCCATCAGTAGACAAGACCAATGGATAACTGAATAAAACCGCCCCATTTCACTCTGGTGGTTGCATTTTCTGTCACAAAAGATCTCTTTGCTCGGAAACATCCTGCTGCGAATCACGCACCTGTCTAATTTCTTCCACTTGAGTATTTTGTTCAAAGTACAAGCGACCTGACATTAAAAGTAGGGGTAGAAAACGATCGAAAACTTGTCCGTTTTATTACTTATTTATTACATCGTTGTGCCGAAAGGCGACTACAAATGTGTTAAATTGATTATTGTATCTGTTTGTCGGCGAAAGCACTAGAAAAGTTAGACTGCGGGTGGCGCTCGATCCAAGTAATTGCTGATTGAACATGCAGTAGCTCACAGTGTGGGATTACTGGATGTTGCGCAATGATCTTAACGGATAAAACAACTCTACATTTTGAGTGGAAAGGGTAAAAGGTGTTTGAAATACAGGACCATCTCACCTTGTAAACCCATTTTAATTATCAGCTTTTTTTATTTCAAAACTCAGCATCGAACAATTTTGTTTCCGCTGAAATTAATTCGGACCTGACTTCATTTGGGCAACTTACCTCAGATTGTCGTTTCGCCACAAGTTTTGTCATCTGATTCCTTAGACTTTGCAAACAACTCTGCGATTCCTTTGAATACAGGTTCTAGAGAGCACAATGATTCATTCATACGCCAATTCACGGCCGCTCGTTTTCATATACGTTTCCCAAAAGGACTAAATGAATGTTGGAATAAATTTCAATCATTTAAATTTTCCTCACACTGACCCCAACGGAACGAAAGTTACTTAATTGACTATCCGTTCCCGAGAGACATTCTGTGGACTTAATCAGTAATTTCCCCAAAGCTATTCCTTATACCCATGCTTCGATGGTATAAATACCGCAACGGGAAGGAACTGAGAGTCTCCTAGATGGATCAGAGATACGACAAATGGCGAGGCATAAGGTAAGCAGTTGACGAGTTATTTCGCTAAACAGAGAATCAAATCTAATATGAATCTAGAGAATAATGTTTAGTTCACTTGTCAAACCGGGGACGAAAACTCCATGAACTTTTCTGAACCGAAGCACTATTTCGGGCTTAGGAGCAAGCCAACTATCAGTTTAAAGACCACAGGAACATACGCGAAGCTCGCAAACTGAAAAGGTCACCGTGTTTATCCAACCAATGCGCTACAGTAGCGTAAAAGACCGTAAAGTTGGATCTGTGATAAAAATTCCATCGATCTGTGTCCCTAACCGCAGTGCATATGGGGAAGTAAACCCCATTGATGGAGTGCAGAGCAGCTTTACTGCTCCAGCTTTACTGTCCATGGCGCAGAATCTCAGTACAAGGTTGCAGCGTCGATCTAGAATTACCCCGTAAGCTGCCTACTGGTAAACCTTATATACTGCTCTTTGAACCCCAGGCTCACTATGCCTTGTCTGACCAGTTTAAGCTTAGGCGTTTTAGCATTCCCTAGCATGTCTTTCGCGATTAGTGGTCCATGAGATAATTAAATTTCTCACTCTTTTCGGAAAAGCTTGGTAACAATATCAGGGCAACGTTTCGATTTTGACACAAAATCCTCGTCAGGCCAAGTGACTGGGTTGCGAGGTTTCTAGAGATTCAAGTTGGAAGGTGACCAATCAGCTAAGTCAAGCTAAATCTGTCAGGTGATGGCTAAGAGAGTCTGTGTTAGTGTGGGCCCCAAAGTTTTAGGCAGATGAGGAACCTACATGGATTTGGGTCCAGCCTAGGGTATGGTTCTTGCGGTTCGTGATAATCCCTCTTGAACGTCGTTTGTACTTTTCATCTGTCTGTGTGGATGAGCCAGTGCTACGATAGCTGTGTAAGAAAGAAGGATTCTGTAAACTTTGGTCGGGTTGGGATTTCCACCTCCCATCTGTTTTTCTTCATGATTCTACGTGCATTGACAACCACATACGGTCAGGTGTCAACTCGGCTTATCTAAGACGACTTTCCATACGCTCGCCAGTTCCACACCTTCAATTCTGTTCACGCTGTGCTGCTTGGTAATTTCCACCGCCTCGGCTATCAGCCGCAGTGGTGTGAATCGCAGTCCCCGTCTTGAAACTTTTACATTCTCCAGATGTATTCTACGTACCGTGTCTAAGACATGTATCGCCATCGTTGAGACTTTCTGATGTGCAATTTCTTGGTAGTTTATGCCCACTGTTCAGCCCTCGATATCCCGATATCATTCTTAGATAAAAGTCAGTGCCTTTGGTATGTAGGACTTGCAATTTTCGGGGACGGCGCGGAGGTATTTGGTGTATTTGGTTCATTGATACGAGGACTCCCAATGACACCTACATCCTCAAACAATGCACTGATAATTAACTGACACACATTACATTATATAAATGCACGCGTTTCTAGAAAACAGTCCAATTTGGGATCTAACCAGTACTAACTAAGTATTATGAACCCATTGTCGCTGTTTCACTATTACTGTCTTCACTGACCTTCACAACCCGTATTCAATGCGGTCGCCCAGGTAGGCCTACTTCACAGATTTTGGCTGCCTGTAGTTTACGGGTCGCTTTGAGCCCCAATTTGCCAGTTGCTTCAGAGTGGCACTATCTGTTAGACTGTAATCATTTAACTTAGGCCTTCCTGTGAAAGAATCAGAACCTCTGGTTACGCTGTCAAAATCAAACTGCATGTCAGCCACGGACGAACCATCTTAAAGAGGCCGAATTCAATCTGTCTTGCGATAATGCGTCCTCTTGCTGTCATGTAATGGATAAATGCCCTTGGTGTAGGAGATGTCCCAAGGTCCTGATCAGCATATATTTCATTGGGAATAGGTGGACCATTGTTATCACTTATGGGAGAGGAAAGTCGTACCGAGTAGCGTGTGCACTGCACCGCAGTTTGTTTGAACGAAATATTTTGTGAAAAAGCTCCTGGCTAATCTCTCTGGAAAAGAGGATTCACAAAATTCAGTACAACAGAGATTTTGCACCGAACAGCCGAGAATCACTGTATTGTTGTTTCATCTTTAGTGGGAATCATCAGCAGTACGCATTTCGCAAGTCTTCAGGGCGATTCAAACTTGCAACCTTTCGACTAATCGCTGAAGACTAAATGGTCCGGACAAAAATCAATACTTAAAAGTGGGGCGAAAGTTTCTGAAAGCCGCAAATAACCAGATAAAATGTAATCAGGAAGGTTCAGATGACTGGGTTTCCGTTTGGGTTAGTATAAAAAAAGAAAATTATCGTGATCGAAGTCAGTGTGAAAGCTATTTTATGGCCAGTAATTCTATTTATGTGGTATGTAAACCACATTTGTGTGAACCCACAGCGAAGGCCCTTCGTCGGGCTGCTTACTGCACCACCCTCTCATTTCAGCTAGCTTTGATCCGTACTCCACGGTTAACAGAATACTCGTTTCCAGTTCGGTTATGCGATCCTCTTAGTTTCTTAATTTGGCACACAAACAAGATAATTTAGGAGTTATAACAAAAAAACAAATAAAAATAGACCACAATTCAGTGAATATCTGCTATGAAAGATTTGCGTATAAAATTTGAATGTTACAAGTTCAACGGGAGCGGCAAGGACATGAGTGACCTTAAGAGCTTTTCGCATGTTGTGCAGTCTCACTTTCATCCAAGAAAACTGCGTTGCATACAGAAGCTGAACTGTCATGTCCTGGTGATTGATAAGTACTTCACTTGCACAATGGCTCGTTTCTTTGTGAACCCCAAACTCGACCCTTTGTTGTGATGCTTGCTCTGAACGATTTGTCTGTGGATAGTTTGCGTGAAAGAGATTAGGGCTTGAAATACAATTAGACGAACCTTATGGTTCTACGGCAGTGAAGCATCAGTGTCAACATTGATGTCTTTGATGCTGATGATGACGATAATGATGATAACTTGCGCGTGACACGACACCTTTGACTTACATACAGGAGACGTTAGAAAAAATCTCTGAGCTGTAACACCCGATGCCTAGCTGCCATGTTACCCGAAGGAATCACGAGGGCTGGGATACTGTCAGGTCATCCAAGCCTAGACAGGAGAAGTCAAGAGACAGAGTTCGGGTTCGAACCACGGACCTTCCGGTCAGTAAATTAGCGCTCTTACCACTTAAGCCATCTCGCCCCCAGAGTTGCGAGGTAGTCTCTCTTAACATTCTACCTCTCGCAAGCAGTAAGACTGTTCCACGCTTACTGGGCTCACCAAGTCTGCTTTCAATTTTTTCGCACAACAGAGCAACTGGTTCTTCTCAATTATAACTAGAAACAAAAAACCACAAAGGCTATAATGACGGGATGTCTAGAGTGCATGAAACCAATCAAAATAAGACTGGTCACTGTCAGTCTAATACCAAGAAAGCCAAGATGTTGAAAACAGATAGTTTCCTGCATATCAGGCCATACTGTCATGATGACTTAGTAGAATGTATTACAGCTGCACTGATAAGCTCCAGCACCGGTGGGAATAGAACTACAGTGAGTTTGGCCGCTAAAGGTATGACTTTACTAGCCACACTTTTCGGCAATGCTGACGCGCACTCCTCTGACTTATTGAGATCAACAACGTTCGTCAGAAATGCTTCCTCCCAATAGTTTGAACTCTTCCACATAGAGAGGGCTTCACAAACGATAATTCTACGCACTCAAATCTTCAAAATATTACACCGCCGGGAAACCAAAACTGAGGAATTTTTTTCAGAATGTGAATTTTTGGTTCCACTTAATTTTCCTGACAGGGGAAGTCGAGTGGCGGAGGTCGGATTCGAACCACGGACCTTCCGGTCAGTAAATTCGCGCTCTTACCACTTAAGCCATCTCGCCCCCAGAGTAGCGAGGTAGTCTCTCTTAACATTCTACCTCTCGCAAGCAGTAAGACTGTTCCACGCTTACTGGGCTCACCAAGTCTGCTTTCAATTTTTTCGCACAACAGAGCAACTGGTTCTTCTCAATTATAACTAGAAACAAAAAACCACAAAGGCAATAATGACGGGATGTCTAGAGTGCATGAAACCAATCAAAATAAGACTGGTCACTGTCAGTCTAATACCAAGAAAGCCAAGATGTTGAAAACAGATAGTTTCCTGCATATCAGGCCATACTGTCATGATGACTTAGTAGAATATATTACAGCTGCACTGATAAGCTCCAGCAACGGTGGGAATAGAACATCCAGTGAGTTGGCCGCTAAAGGTATGACTTTACTAGCCACACTTTTCGGCAATGCTGACGCGCACTCCTCTGACTTATTGAGATCAACAACGTTCGTCAGAAATGCTTCCTCCCAATAGTTTGAACTCTTCCACATAGAGAGGGCTTCACAAACGATAATTCTACGCACTCAAATCTTCAAAATATTACACCGCCGGGAAACCAAAACTGAGGAAATTTTTTCAGAATGTGAATTTTTGGTTCCACTTAATTTTCCTGGTGCTATTTCGGTTGTCTGATCGGAACGGTGACAGTTTGACTGAACTGATTGAGTTGAGATCGCTGTAAAACCAAACAGGAGACAAGCAACAAGCTCGGTGTGGCAGGATGTGACGACATTCAAAAAGCAACCGTTTGTTTTTGTGTCTTTGCAGTGGAGTTTTCGGCTTTCTTGGTACATCGGACACCTTGTGTTTAGTTTCGGACAAGAATAGAAATGTCACATAAGAATGTAACCTTATTTGCGGTTCAGAAATGAAACGCCACCACCACGAACATTTTTTATGGACGTGCTACCAACTACTGAATCATTACCCCTAATTAATCTTTTTCCTAAGTGGAGATTTCAAACCATGTGATGTTGCCCAATAACGCGAGAAACGTCAATAAAGGGACTCAGAACACTTACCCATGATCTTCCTTTTTACGTGGACACAAAATATCTCGAAACAGAGAGAGTAACACAGCCTAAATCCTATAATCTAAGTGTAATTGAGCTTATATTTAGTTCAAGCCAAATAACGTCAACCTCGGAGGAAGTTGTTGTACGATCTTAAACAAACCTACCTAATCGTTGTTACCTTGCTTCCGGTGGCCAAATTGCTAAGGCACTTGTTCACGTCGATCATATGGATGATTGACAGACAGTGGGAGGGAAGTTGTCTTACGGATGGCTAGTTGGTAACCATTCATGATTTAAAAAATCCTGTGTCAGGTGGGAAAACCGGATTGGTCTCTGTATATCTTTGTAGTGTACTACTCATAAGGTTGCTGAAAATCCGTCGACAGCCCACGACCGGTTTCGCCCTTTTTGGGGCTCATCAGGTAGGCGCAGTCCCCGGGCTTCCGTCAATTTGAAACCAAAGATACAAAGATATACACTTACCGCGATACTTCGAATATCGTAGTGACTGACACATGAGGCGGCCTGGTGCAGCACATTCAGTTGCCTGAGAACACTACGAACGAGAAATTCAGCTGGGTTCAAAACCAAATTAGTTTGCAAATGAGTGTATATTCGCGAATTTCGTGCAGGTTGGTTTCAAGTAGAACACAGGGTTGACGGAAACCCGGGGCTGCGCCTACCTGATGAGCCCCAAAATGGGTGAAACCGGTCGTGGGCTGTCGACGGATTTTCAGCAACCTTATTAGTAGTGCATTACGAAGATATACATGTATCGCGGTATCTCGAATATCGTAACGACTGAAATATAAGGCGGTTTGTTGCGGCACATTCAGTTGCCTGAGAACATCACAAATGAGAGATTCAGCTGAGAGTGGTCTCTGATTTTTCGTGCACTTGAAAAGCTCATACTCATAGTAAGCACAAAGTTAACGCTAGCGTGACTGAACTCCCGCACATGTGACGCACGCATAGAACTGTGAATACCTTGGCTCTTTGCTTCAATTTTTCCTACATTTAACCCTATATTATTCCTATGATAAATGGTTTACTTCCCATGACCTTGCGATAACTAGTTTGCGCAGTTAACCGTTCCGTCGCAAGTGTCTAATCATCAGTCTGACTAAGTCGCACTTTCGTTCCCCATGCAGGACGAAATCTTCAGTCAAAATCTTTTCTGTTAAAATATCACTACAGTATGGGTGAAAGACCATGAACAGTTAGCTCCCGGTTTCGCCATTTTTGAGGCCTACGCAGAGAACCGAACTGGAGCACATGGAAATCAGATAAACTGATTCGCAAAATAAGACGATGTTAATGGAGGATGCAAACAGAATTTTTGTTCCTAACGTGAAGAAAGTCTGCCAATGTTTCATTTTGAACAGTAATCGAGCTGGCAAAGTACCCTTGGGAACACGATCAAAATGACCGCGATCAACTGAATAAATAATTTCCGATTTAGTCCGGTTTTTGGATTCACCTGGTAGGCCCAGTCCCAAATCCCCATCAGAACATTCCCCCCTAACGGAAGACCAAAAAGGAACTTGTGGAGTTAAAAACTCACTTACAAATATGGGTGTTGTCAACGCGAGTCTTTAGGAGGTAAGGTTGAGTCACTCTTAATGGTAACTTGACCTGCAGACGAATATTCATACCCTCATATTATTACATTAGTTTTTGTGTGGTCTCTGAGCGCTTCAGTCATAAAAACTTGAAAGGATGTGATAAGATAACTTTATTGATCGTCGTTTTTTTACAGATACAGTTTGTCTGGTTGTCTAGGAAAACAAACGCACGATGACATGGTAGGAAAGTTCGCAAAGTGCTGACATCTTCTTGAAAGTTGTGAACGTAATATGCTACTCATAGGTTTGCTGAAATGTTCCGACAACCCACCACTAGTTTCGTCCTTCTTGGGTTCGGGTAATAGATATGGTTAGCATAAACTGGGGGATGAGGCCAAGAAAGGCGAATCGGGTCGTGCACTGCCGAATGGTCTTCAGCAACCCAATGGTTAGTGTGTTAGTGTATTGCGATATCTTGAATATCGTAGCGACTGAAACGTGAGTTAGTCTGCTGCTGCTCCTGTGACAAAAGCGGTCAACTTCGTCAGTATTCGTGGTATTTCACAATCTGTTGCATACCACCAGGTTTTGGGGGCAGTTTTTTAAGCATAGAGATAAATATTCCACTGTAGTCAGTTCGAGGAACCAGTTATCCTCAAGAAAAACCCCACCAAAAAGGGACTGGGCTGCTAACTACGACCAGAAGTCCGTTCTTTTCCGAAGATGAAGGTGGATCACCTTTCGGTTAATTAAAGCATTATTCCATCTACTGGGGGTACCCATTTGTATTCGTTTGGCGGTTACTGGATCTCGATTACATTTCTACGGATGCCAGCCTCTCACTACTGAAGAAGGATAACACCAGTTAACTATCGATTGGAATAAAACTTCATTTTGGAAACCAACGCCACTAAGCCACTCTATTCAGCTTGAGGAGACGTAAACTTATCTAATCTGTTCACTACATTCCGTAAGGAAATTTATCTCTGAAAGCTAACTAGCTGTCAGGACTATTGTTCGTTCATGTTTTAAAAGATCCGCTTACCACAGTTCTTGAAACGCGTATGACCACCGATGCGAAGTCACTGATTTTGGCGCAGAGTCTGTTCATATTGCTTAAATTCACTTAATTAACTATCACCCGTCGTATTGTGTACAAACTACGCTTGGTTCGTCTGAGGGGGGCGAGATGGCCCAAGTGGTTAGAGCGCGGATTTACTGAGTAGAAGGTTCGTGGTTCGAACCCGACCTCTGCCTCTCGACTTCCCCTGTCTAGGTTTGGGCAACCAGGCAGTATCCCAACCCT